TCAGGTTTTCAAGACCACGATGCCAGTCCAGACTGGTTTACATCCTGGTTCTTATCACAATGTTCCCATTGTCTCTGCATTAGTGCTATATCTTGCAGGTGTCACACTACTGGTTTGCATAAGCAATTACTTTATGTCTACATGTCAAGTCTCCCCCTTTCCTTCCTACCCTAGCAAATTCTTTTGCTATATAATTCCATTTCTGTTCTAGGGTCTTAGCAAAATATTTACCTTCCTCCACTCTCCGCTGCAGTCAATGCTTCCTCCATACGTCATAGCTATTCCCAGTTTGCCTACATGCTCACATAAGATATTTCAGCATGAGGCAGAGTATCAAAACTGTGAAAATCAGAGCCAAGAGGATCACCAACAGCTGTTGGATCCAGGCTAGGTTTGACAACCAGGAAGTTAGTTTCTCCCTAACACTAGCACTACCCCAGGATGTGTCATCTTGGGTGCCTTCTAGGGTTTTCAAATGATCACAAATTCTTTTGATGTTAGTTTCCACTTTCTTGTGCTCACCAATATAGGTGCAACAACTGGTATTGATTAGGAGGACAACTTCCTTTAAAGAATTTACCTAAACCTGCAAGTCCTTCAGCCACTGCATTTGCTATTATTTCCATTTCGCTGAAATATTTACAGTATCTGTCTCTAGCTGGGCTACCCCCAGAGTAGTGATCAAAGCCTTTATAAAACTGTGATACCCAGTATTACATCTTACCAAAGGGTTATCAACCCCTGAAGCACTTTAAAAATCCCACCTTGTGGAGCCAGATATCCTTCCATGCAATGTTCTTTCCAAAGATTGTTCTTTCCAAGACTGTCTGTCCCTACCATCTCCACACAGCCACCAGTATCCCTCTCCCAATTTGCACCAACTATGAAGCCATTGCACCTATGCAATTGGGATCTTCCCCTTCAAAAAGAGAACTGAAAAGCTTCCCAGACCAGAGAATATTGTCGCAGGAACCCCAAACCTTGGAATTACTTCCTGCAGCGACACCTTGGTTATTTCTTTGGCTTTATTGGTACTGAAGGGCAATGCTTCTGACCATCCTGAAAAGGTATTGTTAGTACTAGCATATAATGAAACCCCCCTTCTCTTGGAATTTCCAAAAATCAGTTTGCCACTGTTGCCCTGAAAGGCTCCCTTTCCCGATAGGCCCCAATTGTACCCTGTTTCTTGTACCAGGATCATAAAATCACTTTGTTCAAATATTTATAAGAGTGTCTGTTTCCCCAATATGTTTTATTATGTTCCCTAAGAATCACTAAAGGGTACAACAACGTGTCTATCTGTGTATGCAGCCATCTGTCAGCTTGCTCCCTTCCCTTCTAAATCATTAATTAGATTCCTATCCTGTCTAGAATACTTTACAGGTTTTGACTCAGGTTAAAAGATTTAAAGTTTAAAGCCAGTTTACTAATTTTTTTTTCCCTTCAGCTGCCTGTTTTGCCACCTGATCCACCATCTTATTTCCAATTTTCTGTGTAGTGTTACCTTTCTGATGTCCTCTACAATGTATAATAGCCACGCTCTTTGGTAGATTTACATCATGCTGAATTTGTTTTCCATGTGTGTGAGCAATCCTTGCACTTTCCAGATGGTACCATGAGTGTGTACCACCTCAAATGCATATTTAGCATCTGTCCACATATTTAAGGCTCTTGTCAAGGCAATTATTTCAGCCTTTAGAGCAGAAGTCCCCACAGGTAATGGTTTTGTCCTTGTCTCATAAAACTGCTTCCATCGATGAATCCAGAAATTGCCAGCATCGCTCAATGATTCCTCCTGTAGGTCTGGCTGACTGGCACAGTTAGTTTCCAAGCAGCCACGCACTCCTGGCTCTGAGGAGGCTCCACATTGGTGCCCTTGGCACTCAGCAAAATGATTTCTTCCTTCTAGATTTCTGTTGAGAAACTTGATAACCATTTAAACCAAGAAATTTAGCAAACTCGCAGTCCACTGAACACAGTCTGTGGCATCCACATACTGCAGCAAAGCTCCATGTCGGGGCAGATGAACCCAGTCTCAAGCTCACGAGCCTACTGGTTCTCAAAAATCACTGGGCTGTTCTCACAACCCTGGGTAAAACTGTCCTGGTTAACTGAGACTTTTCTCTCCATATTGGGGTTTTCCTACTCAAAGACAAATAACTTCAGACTTTCTTTGGCAAAGCCAGTCAGAACAAGGCATGCATCAAACCCAGAACAGTAAACCCCACCTACTCATTCCTTAATTTGGTTAATAAACTGTAAGGATTTGCCACCACTGCGTGTATATTTTCAACAATTCTATTAATTGACCTCGAATCTTGTACCAAATCCTAGCTCTTGCTGTCCTATTTTCACTGGCAAGACTAGGGTGTCACATTTGGATTTGCATTCAATTAATAATCCAAACTCCAAAAAGTTTTCTATTATTTCTTTTATCCTTCCACAGACTTGTATCCTCAAAGGGCCACTGCTTTACCCTGATGGAGCTGGCTCCCGCTTTTAACTTAACTTCTATTGGGGCTGCATTTTTGGTACTGCCAGGCATCCCCAGTGCCTACATGGCTGGGTATAAATGATTCAAGATTTCTGTAACTTCTGGGTGTACAACATTGTTTTTTATTTCCAGTTTGGGAAACTTCCCAGGTTCCGTCATTCCATCATTCAGCTTTTGCAATCAGAGATGGTCCCCTTCCCCCTCAGCTTGAGACAGCTTCTCCACCAACGTCCCATTTCCTTGTTATCTGCACACTGCTTTCAGTCCAGTGGAGGCAGAACTCTCCCTGGGTCCTTCCAGGCCCCCTGTACCTCTTCCCGGGGAGATCTCTGGGTCCTCGGGCCATGACTTAGTGCAGCAACAGTAGCAGCTGCTATTGTTCTTCCCAGTTTCTTTCTTTCATTAACATCTCTGTTCCTCAATCAGTTTTTTCAGATCCCTCACCTCTCTTCTCGGTCCTCACATCCCTGTTACATCTTGCTCATCTTTGTCTTCCTCAACCTGTACTTTTTGCAAATCTTTTTTTCCTTTTTTTTCCCCCACACTTTCCAAACTTTTATAATTACAAACACTATTAACATATTTCAGTTTCACCTATACCCCCTTCCCATTTGTAAGTAACATGCTGTCTACAGCAAGACCCTTCTGCCACAGCGGTGTTCACATGCTGGCACATATCTGCCTTGGCCAGTGCAGATCACAAACTCTAATATCTCAAACTTACTGTTTTTCTTTAAGTCTTTTGCCATTTTTTTCCACAATTCCACTACTCGTACCCTCAATTACACTTCCATATACCATTAAAACAGTTTGTCCCACTCCCTTCAAGACCCACAAGTCAAGCAATACAGTTCTTCAACTTCTACAAACATCCAGCTCTTGGTCTGACATTTAGAATACTCAATTGTGATAACTGGTCCCATTACTTCATTTATATTCCTGGTTTATTACTCAATATTCTATGCTCTTCCACACCTCTTGTAGGACATCTCCTCATGACTTACAGGTTCCCCTCCAATCTAAACCTACCTGGTCCGCTGATAGTTCTTGTCTGTTCCTACAGTGTTCAGGTAAGGGGAGGGAGTACTTCTGAGAAATCTTGGGGTGTGCCAATGGGGTCCCCTCCCTCCAGCTGGTCCCACAGTTGAACAGAGTGCCTCTTTCCTGGCTCACCAAAATTGATGTGCAGAATCAAACTCTATAACCCACATAAGGTTATAAAGCAGGTATGTTTATTATGGCACCAGGTGCGAGGGGAATTGCTCCTCATAACTTGCACACCAAACCGTCTATTTGTCACCTATTTAATATACAAAATCACACATATGCATCGGATTACACAAAAGGTGGTTTGAGCTTGCTTAAGAGTCCCAGTAACTCATCATAATATTTCTATTAGTTTAGGGAAATCATTATACTATGTCCCACCTCTGGACACATGCATGCTGCTCTCTGGTCATCCTGGCAGAGGTCTTCTCCAACTCTTCCTCATGAAGGCTTCCTGGTGTACTTCTCACCTTTGGCTTGCTCAGTGGTTTTTGAGACCACAGTACTGGTGCTGACTGGTTTACATCCTGGTTCCTCCTACAAGGCTCCTGTTGTGTCTGCATAAGTCTATGATCTTGCAGGTGTCAGACCAATGGTTTGCATAAGCGGTTTTGCTTTACATCTGCGTGTCAACATGGTTATTGAACATGGTGGTGACTGGTTTGACAGCTGGACTAGATGATCTGAGAGGTCTTTTCCAACCTTAATGATTCTGTAATGCACCTCACCGAGACAGATTTTGTCACATTCCCTGCCACACTTTGTCCAAGCAAGACAGCAAAGATGGCAGGCTTGGCCTCCTAATTATAGCCCTTCCTCACCTTCTCACTCTCTGAGGTTTAATTAGCAGGAATTTGGCTTGGTTTATCAGCACTTTGGTCATTTATTTCTTTCCTCACAGTAATTATGCTATCCTGTACCCAAAAAGGTAACTAAAAGTTGTTTCTAAAATAACAAAACATTGCAAATCTTCACTGAGACTTCAGAAAGAAGCTCAGTTAACAATTTGCCCTAAGAACCAAACAAACCATAAGACAGCTTCTCGTATAAAAACCAAATTCATCCTGTGAAGCATCTCCAATATTGTGCTCAGCTGGTACTCTTCTGGGAGCGACTTTTTAAACAATCTGATTGTGACAGGAGAAGGCGGAATGGCGTTAAACTACAAGGGGGGAGATGGAGGCGAGGGAACTCTTCACTCGGTGGTGAGGAGCTGGCGGAGCCGCCCAGAGCTGTGGGTGCCCCATTCCTGGAGGTGCTCTGGGCAGCCAGAGCCCACGGCAGGAGTGGAGCTCAGTGATCTTTTAGATCCTTTCCAACCCCACCATTCTCCGGTTCTACGATGGCCTCTGCTTCGCTGATAGTTTTGTTTGTGGTACGCTTCGGAAACTTGCGTTAATAATGACGCGCTCGGGACGAGCCGCTGGGCGGTGCTACACGCTGCCGCCCCGCCCGCCGGACCCTACGTTCACTCCCGGGTTGCGGGGCTGCCATGGCGGCTGTGCGGGACGTGGAGATCGATCCTGATGGCACGTTCAAGTACATCCTGGTGCGGCTGCAGCGGCCTGGCGGCGGGGAGCAGCGCGACATCGTGCGCGGCACCAAGGCGGCCGAGTTCCACAGTGCGTGCCGGGCGGGAGCGGGGCTCTGAGGCGGGGAGCGCCGTGCGTCCCGGCTCCTCTCTCACCCGCCATTTCGAAGCGCCTCAAACCGCGTTTGTCCCGCTATGCTCGCCATACAGCCTTAATTACTGCTCGTGCCCGTCTCACAAGAGAAACCCCCCTTCGGCTCGGAGGGAAAACTGGTTGCGAATAGCTGGCAGTCCTAGTTATAGGGCTCTGATGGCTCTGTTCTCCTTGCACAGATCACATCTTTGAGAAAGTAAATCCTGAGATGGAGAAGCTGGGATACGAGTGCAAGTGCCTTGGAGGAGGGAAAATTGATCATAATAGCAAAGAGAAGAAAATTAGGGTGTTTGGGCTGTCTACAGTAAGTGCCTCTTGTATTCCTTTCCATCTCCGTTGTTCTGGAGGTTTTGTTTTGTAATAAGTAAGTGTGGTAACGAATCAGAGCATAAATGTTCCCTGGGAATCTTGCCTGGCTCCCCTGTGGGGAAAACACTGCTTTAAGGGCAGGAGACCAAAGCCAAAGGAGCAGATAATGTGGAATGATAGCTACAAACAAGGCTAAAAGTGGAAATCAGCATTTCCTGGCTCACAGACTTAGTGACAGAGGAGGAATAGCCTTGTTACAGCCACGGGGTCACGATTCAGCTGGAGTGTGATCTTTGGCTATGGAATCGTTGGCTGGCAGTTGACCAGCTGGGTTGTGAACAGTCTGTGTGTGTGAGAAGGGTGCACCCAGTGTGGGTGGGCTGGGTGTTCGGTGAGCAAAGGTACAGCTGTGCACAGATCTGTTTTTGTGAGAATAAAAGTGGCTCTGTGTGTGGGAACCTGAGCGTTTCTGTTCTGTGCAAGTTACTGAGTCTTCTCATAAAGAAACTTCAGTGGTAATTTCTTGAATTGAGGGAATGTACCATAGTCTGTTTCTTGTGTTGCTCTGTGATGCAGTATAGCTGCTTCTGTAGTAATGCTGTGAGCAAAGGTTCTTTGCTTTTAATGTAGATGAGAACAGAATAGTCATCGCTTTATATTAAAAAAAAAATTCAGCTGATTTCATAGAACTATTTCAAATCTGCTAACCTTAACCTGATAACACATTCAAGGCCTAGTCCCTATTGCTTAACTGTTGTTAAATGTTATTGTTGCTTTTGTTCTAAGATGACGAGAAGGAATGGTTTTAAAAGAAGGAAGGCACAGATTAGGTTTTAGGAAAAAGTTCTTCATGCAAAGGGTGACGAGGTGCTGGGACATGCTGCCCAGAGAAGCTATGGGTGCCCCATCCCTGGAAGTGCCCAAGGCCAGGCTGAATGGAGCAGCCTGATCTGTAGGGGTAACTGGCCCATTGGCAGGGATTGGAACTGGATGGGCTTTGTTGTCCCTTCCAACACAAGCCATTCCATGGTTCTCTGGTTCTGCTATCTCTGCATCTCTGGCTCTTCCATCCCAGCTGCTTGCTGTTTCTATGATTCTTTGACTCTTGCCAGCTGGAATCATGTGAAAAAACTCACCACTTTAGGATTTGTGCTAGGGAGAGAAGACAGTGGATAATACTTGCTCTACTCAAATCTCTTGATTGTGAATGCCTATCACCATTGCATTATTAGATGAGGTTCGACACCTGCCTTACTAATTTAGCTGCCAATTTACTGTTAGAAGTAGCAGTTAGCACTTGAAACACACTGCCAATGGAAAGTGCTTTTTTTTTTTTTTGTGATTCTTTTTGGTACCTTGAAACATACAGATGAGCACAAGATGAAAGCAGAGTTTTACTACCAGGCGGGCATCTGTTGAGTAGAGACCTGGAGATTTGAAAGACTTCCGCTGTAGGTCAGAAGTTGGTATAGAAATCATTTTGATGCTTTTCTTCACTTGGAGATTTGCTGTCAGGCTCTTAAAGAAGATTATCTTTTTTTTTTTATTTATTATGAAGACCAGAGAAACAGATTCTTTTAAAGTAGATGCTGTGTTGTTATTTGCAAAGCTGAATGGGGGGTCTTCAAAGCAGTTACCAAAGCAAGAGCGATCTGTAGAATTGTGATGTAAAATGAAAAGTATAAACCAGCAGTATTTTTTATATAGCTCCATTATCTGGTAGTTTGAAGAGGTTGATGCATTTTCTAATGCTTCAATTCAATTTGTGCAGCTTAAATGCTAGTTTACTTAAGCTGTTCCTTCAGAGATAGAGCCAGTGATGAATTATTGTGTTTTGTATGAATTGCTCAAGCAATCTTGAAGTTTTTTCAGTCTCCTGAGTTAAATGGGCTTCACTGAATATTACTGGAAAAAGGCAGTAAGGTGGAAATAACAGGTTTTTATCAGTAGACTGAAGTCTTTGACAAGTGACAACTTACTTGTAGTTCTGAAACAAGAAATCAAGATAAGTAACTTCAGGCAGTCAAAACGATGGAAGCGCACCTTCTATCACAACTCTTCAATTTCAGTGAAAGACTGAAACTGTGATAAATGATTTAAAGAGAGTTAAAAATGAGATAAGTCTGATGATGCTTTAGTTTGGAGTTGTAGTGCTGAAGATTGTTTGTGTATGAAATCATGCCAGAGAGATAACAAATAAAGACTTTGGTCCCTTTGGTGACTAGAATAGTACTCAGGTGTTCACACATGGCTTCCTGTTCTGTTTTCCTTCAGCTGAGCTGCAGCAGATGCTCGTAGGCTCATATGTTGATGTGGGTCAATACAGTCAGTAGTTTAAAAAGAACATTCAGTAAATAGAGTGGCTGAGGGATTGGGAGTGTTTTAAAGTAAGCTTTTTGTTAGAGAAATCGTGGTGTATAAAACGCATCCTGTTACTGGAGATGGACTCATTTATTTTCTGCAAATTGGGTTGGGGGAAATTGGAGATGATAATAGAAAAATGAAGTGCTGTACTGCAAGAGCAACTTTTTTTTTTTTTTTTAAGAACGTCCATTTATTTCTAATTTTTATTTGAGCTACTTGCAGTATCAAGCTGTAACTGAATAACTTGTGTTGACAGCAATTGAATGGTGCTGTGGAGTTGCTTTCTGCACTTGTCTAATAAACTCTTGCTCTTTCTTGCAGGGCTATGGAAAAGCAGATCATTCGGTGACTGTAGAGATACTGAAAAAAGTGTACACAGATTATGAAATTACATGGTCAGATGACAAGAAATAAATTGGCTATTTATGAATGTGACAAGCAGTTCAAATCTGGAAACTTTCTGTGAGTTGTGCTTCAATAAATAGAATGGAATGTATGTTATCATGAACCCGGAATACTGGACTCTCCTTTAATTTATAGTACAGTTAAATAATCCCCAGGTATCTCTTAATTTGCAGATCATTGCTTTGTGCAAAAAAAGAAAAAAAAAAACTTCAGAAAGTGATTGTATGCCTGGTACTCAGTAACCAAGAATAGCATGCATGTCACTAATCTGCAGCTTGAGCACTTCCCGCTTCTATTTTCCTCTGGGCTTTTTTTCCCCTAACATTCAGTGAAATAACTGTAACGGATGCTGTTTAGTTGGTGCCAGTATACAAAACTGATTTTTTTTTTTTTTATTTTTTTTGGCGTTGTCCTTTCCCAAAACCATCAGATGGTCTTCAGGAGGAAGTCATCAGCTAAGGGTAGCGCATGTTAAAATAAACAGGCTTTTAAATTTAATTTCCTGAAACACTTTATGACAGACTTTAATGTTTCTCACTACAGTACTTACGAGAAGGACATAGTTTATACAGGATTTCTTACTGCAGTGACTCTCAAAAAGTATGGGGATGGGGCAGGGGAGAAAAGGAGAGACTTGAGCTGAAAATTGAGTTGCCAGTTGACCTCTTTGTTTTGTAATAAAGAAATTGGGCTTGATACAATGGTTTACATTATAAAAAGGGGGCTTTCAGGGTCCTCTAAATTCTATTATTTTCTAATGTAATTTAACTTGGAAAAATGCTGATTGCTCTACCAATAAGAAGTCTTACAAGTAAGATGAAGATTTTTTTAATTCCACATCATGAAAAGAAGCAGGAAATTGGTCACAAGGGCGATGGTGATTTAGCAAGTAGAAAAGTCTTACTGGCTTTCCTGATCTAGGAACAACACTTTTACTGATGCTGAAACAGCAACAGAACAATGAGCTCACAAAATTAAGTGTTGAATTCTGCTTCCTCTCGGTGTGTCTGCTGACTTCTAAAAGCAGAATAGAACTCATCTGAAGTTATGGAAATCTCAATGCTGATTTCACCTGAGAAAAATATCCTATACTGATTCTCTTATCATTCTAAAATGGGAACTTAATTACAATGTGTTGGGTTTCCTTTTTTGTAGGTGTGCAATCACTGTGTGATTGTGGCTCTAGCAGTCTTTGCTTGAAATTCCTAAAAGATCTGATTCTGTATTTGCATGAAAACTGAGCTGCTTGAGCAATCTACAAATAAAATGAGGATGCTGAGCAAAGGAATGTTATTAAGCCTAAGACAGGGTGAATGATCAAGGAATATTTTCAAGAGGGAGCATTACAATTGTTTAGTGCCTTCTTTACTCACTGTAAATACACGAGATTCTTGTTCTTAACTATATTCATTGTCATAGGAAGTCAAGATTATTTTTTTTGTTGTTGCTTTAGGTACCATTCTCTGAAACAGCACCTAGCAGGTGGCCAGTCAGCGTGTGCCAGCAATGATTTGTCTTCAGGCTGAGGTATATAAAATAGCAAGTAGTAGCGGTGTTCCAACTTCCCATTTTTGACAAAGAACTGTTAACAGTATTTCACTGACCTGTGCCAGAGCTAAATCTTTTTTCCCCTGTTCACAGTCAGCATTTGTCTGTCTTTGGCAGGTTGCAGTGCAGTCACAGCCTTAGCATCAAGTGACTGCTTTTTTCCCTCTCTGCTATGAGAGAGCACTTCAGTAGTGTCCTAAGCATCCATTTAAGTAGTCTACTTATTTTTGTTCCATAAACAATTCTAGTTAAGACTCTTCAATGAAGTATGGGAAATCCTCTAGGCTATCTTAATAGCAACATGGTCAAAATAGGAACCTCGCAGTTGGCTTTCATACGCAGAAATGACAGGAACGTACGTAATACTATGTGACTGAAGTCACGATTGTAGTAATTCCTTTTCCATCTTCTCAGACAGTCTTTTCTGCCTCGACTTTATACAGTTTCCCTTTACCCAGCTTACTGTAATGGTTGACTATCTCTTAAGTTTTTATTTTTGCAAGGACACCCAAAGCATTATTGTCGCAGTAAAGCAGCGTGTGCTGACAAGAGGTAAGATTGATGTACCTGGTACAGTCATGTAATAGCTTTCTGTCCAAAATAATTATACAATGTTATTTTCTTTGTGAGTTGTTGGTGATTCCGCACACGTGGGACTGGATTTTGTAGTTCTCTAGTTTTGTTTGCAGTTTTTCTTACAGTAATTTCTTGAGCAACGTAGCCTTGTCCCACTGTGAGCATCTTCAGCCTAGGACGCAGAAGAGTGACTTGTAAGCAGACTGTTCTGAAAGTTTGCTGCCCTGCCCATCTGCTTAGAAGATTGAAGAGTTATGATAGTGTTCAGCAGTGCCCCCAGCAGCCTGAAATTACAGTAATGGAAGAAGGCAAGTTTGGAAAATGGGCCATAGCATGTGGGCAGTTAGTATCTGTGAAGGTTTTAGAAGAGGAAGTAGTACAGATGGTTAGAATACAACGATAAATACAATCACATCCCCCTCTGGTGGCAAAGCAGCAAAGCGCACAGGTATGCAGCTGATTCTGAAATTTGTTGCTGCAGTTAAATCATAGCTGAGATGGGAGCCTGGCCCTTAAGAACTACTTGCCCTATATTAGGGAGCTAAATGATCGCCCTCAGGCTGTGCTGGCACTGCCAAGGAATGTGAGAGGCAGACTGGGAACAGTGACTTGCTTTATTTTTAAACACATACAAGTAACAAAACGGGCTGAAGAGATGATACTTTATGCAGGACTATACTTCTCTACCAGAATCAGAAGAGTCCTTCACTTCCAGTCAAGCATCAGAATTTGTCAAAATATTTTCAATAGCTAGAAAAGAACAGCATTAATTCATCCATTTTGAATAACCCAGTAAAATTTAAAAATACATATGAGGATAAAAATATTTTGTCTTTATCAAGATAATTTTGGAGCACTGCTGGAATTCATGTTAAGTGGAGTCTTTAAAGGCTATTTCTAAAATAAAGCGCTTTAGCCCTTCCTCAACTTCTTTCACTATGCTGCTCTTAAACACCTTCCTCTCCTCGAGGAATTTTTCAAAGAGGTAGGTACCCCCACCGACCCCAAAATAATGCACTTTGCTTGCCAAATACACACGGCCATTTTTAGCCAACAGCTGAGCCAGCGTATCGTGCAAAGCACCGTAATAGTCGGGGTTATAGATGGTCTCAGACGTGAGAATTAGATCGTATTTTGAACAGGGCTTGCTGCTGCTTAACAGGAGCTGGCTGATTTCAGACCACCCTCCAGAGAAAAACCTGCACCTGGTGAGCTTATCAGGCAGGCACTCTGATTTCTTGCGCTTCTTTGAAGGAGGCTTAATATTCTTTCTGTCATCTTCGCTGTCAGCCTTACTGCCATCATTTATACAGTTAGCCACCACATTAGGCATGGTTATTTCCTCAATCACTGTGCTGTTGTAGTCCTGAAAGTGGACTTTCTCAGCATTTCCCCTTAAGGCGACTATTCCCAGCAGTCCAGCCCCGCACCCAAGATCCAGCACTGTCTTGTTGGCAAACTGGATTTTGGCTTCAGAAAGGAAATCCATCAGATCGTAGGTGCACTCCCAGATTTTCAGTCCTCCCTCATAGACTCCTGGGATGAGATCAGAGTGAGAAGAAACACTTTTCGACACAATATCTTCTTCATGGGTGCCATCTTGGCATGTCAGTTCCACGACAGACATATTTACATAGCACAGCCCTGATACTGTTTCCAGGACTTTATTTTCCAGTACCTTAGTGACATCTGCAGGGATATAGTGCTCCTTAGCAGCTTTGATGCAGACTTTTTTCTCTGGCAGCCTCGTCTCTGGGTGTTCATGTGTTGGAGAACAGGGCTCTGTCTCATTGTGAGCATTGGGCTCTTTGCTTTCATCTTCATCAGGAAAAAAATTAAATCGAAAATCCATTCTCAGGAATAACAGACTAGGAAGTCGCAGCCAGAAGTACTCATCTAAAAGCAGCGCTGATGTATTTCTCTTTTAGAGGATATTTTCAGGCACTTATCGCTGTGGAAACGAGCGCTCGGTGGGCAGCATACCCGCCGCTTTGCCAATGAATCAAGCGAACGATTCCTGCAAACAGAGCGAGTATTTTTACACAGTATCAAAGTGCCAGAACGTTAACGCCAGCAAACTGGTAGCAACATCCTAATTTTCTCTTTTTTTTAAAAGAGAGGAAAACTTCTAAACGCATTTTAAGCACCCGTTCCCCCCGGGGCCCGCTCCCTACACCCACCACAGGCTGCAGCGCTCAGTCCCCCTCCGCCTGGCACGCGTGGTTGGCCTTCCGCTTCCATATGCGCATGCGCACCGCTGGGAGACAAGGGGGTGTAGAATACGTACGCAGCGGCCCCGCGGCCGCAGAGGCTGCTGGGAACGCGGCGCCGAGTTGAGTTTTCCCGCCACCGCTGAGGGGAGCGGAGCGGAGCGCGTCGTGCCATGTCTCAGACCGACCCCGAGCTGCTCCTGCGGGAGCTGGGCGGCTGGGACTGGGAGCTGTGCCGCAGGGAGCTGCCCGCCGTCCTGCCCCGGCTCCTCATATCCTTCCTGAAGGGTGGGAGGGGGGCGGGACTGCGGTAGGGGGAGCCGGGGGAACCCACACGGGGTACCCTGAAATGGTGGGGCTGCCCCGCGCAGTTGAAGCATGTAAGCCTGTGGGTGGGTGTGGGGTTTTGCTGGAAGTGAGAGCTGAACTTCACCAAAATAAAGGCGAGAAATAGTGTGTGGCACCTGGAGAGCTTTTAGTAGTTGCCCCTGTTCCTTCCCATCCCCCAGAAAATTAAAAAAAAAACCGTAATCACGGCATACAAAGCATGCTCCCAGGACACAGAAGTGTTCTGATACGCTGAGCACCTGTGCTGGTTATGGAGCATCCCTTCGGTTTGTGGGATTCTGCTTCTGCTAATGCCTTAATACAATCTTACTGCAGATCCTGAGTTTCCTTAACGCTTCTACTCTATGTATCAAGAGTCCGAAGACTGGACTGAGCACATCCGTAAGTAGCAGCCGGCTGGTTGTCTTTATGCTAAGGCTTA